TCTCATCGGTTTTGTAAATCCACATGCAGGAGCTGTTGTTCCGAGGCGAAGGCCCTTTTAGTTCCTCAAATGCTTGCTCCGCCTCCTCCGTCCAAGCGAACTTCTTCTTACTGCTGAGACAGTCCGTAATGGGCGCCGTCAGGTGGGCAAAGTTTGGGATGAACTTACGATAGAAGTTCCCAAATCCTAAAAACCTCTGCACATCCTTCCTTGTTTTGGGTGTTTTCCATTCCAGTACCGCCTGGACCTTGCCGGGATCCATGGCCAACCCCTTGTCAGACAGGCGATACCCCAGGAATTCCACCTCCTTGGTATGAAACTGACACTTCTCCAGTTTCACCCACAGCTGGTTGGCTTGCAGCCTGCTCAACACTTCTCTGACGTCTCTCACATGCTGCTCCTCATTCTCAGAATACACCAACACGTCGTCCAAGAAGGCCACACAATTCTTGTAAAGCAACGGCCCCAGGACGTGGTTCATAAACGATTGAAATGTTGCGGAGCCTGCTTGTAGACCGAAGGGCATAACTAAGTATTCAAATGCCCCTAAAGGGGTGAACATGGTGGTTTTCCATTCATCCCCCTTCCTTATTCGGATCAGGTTGTACGCCCCCCTTAGATCCAGCTTGGTGAAAATCTTTCCCTTCCGCACCCTTGTCAAAATGTCGTCAATCCTGGGCATCGGGAAGGCCACTGGTTCTGACACTGCATTTAAGGCCCTGAAGTCACACACCAGTCTCGGCTTGTTCGTGTTTTTTGTCCACAAAAACACTGGGCTGCCCCCACCGCCCTGGACTCTCTGATGAACCCTCTCTTCAGGTTCTTGTCAATGAACTCTCTTAGCTCCTGCATCTCTCTGTCTGACATGGCGTACAGCTTGCCCACAGGGAGCTGTGCCCCAGGGAGCAAATTGATTTGACAGTCAAAGGCTCTATGCGGTGGTAGTTGGTCAGCTTCCCTTTCGCTGAAGACGTCACGGAGATCTGCATATTGTCGTGGTACCTTCACGTTCTCTGTTACTTCAGTCCCTGCTAGGGTGGCTTGGACCCCTGCCAAACCCTTTCCCTCTTTGCAGTGTTCTAAGCAATGTGCTGACCCAAAAGAAACCACTCTTTGATGCCAGCCCACCAGCGGATCATGTAACGCTAGCCAGCTCATCCCCAATATAATGGGAGCTCCTCCCAAGGTGGCCACATTAAATGCTATTAGTTCGGTGTGCCTTGCCACCTTCATTATCATTGGGACGGTCTGCAAGCTGACTTCTCCTCCCAACAGCTCCCTGCCATCGATCGTGGTTACCTGCAGGGGTTGCTTAAAGGGAGCGTCTGTATCTGGTGTTCAGCTGCAAACTCTTTGCTCATGAAATTGCAGGAGCTGCCTGAGTCCAACAGCGCCTTTATCTTTAGAGGGTGTCCGTTTGGCAGCTCTAGTGTCACTTCTATCACTAGGGCGGGTTTAGGAGGTTCAGGCGTGGGCACTTTCACTGCTCTTTGGCCTGGCTGCTGTGCCCCGACAATGGCAGCCAGGCGTTGGCTTTTAGTTGCTCCGGTATTTTGTCCTCTCTTCCCTCCACAGCTCCCACCATCCCTTGCCATTCCTTCCTCTGAGGGCAGACTCTGGCAAAGTGCCCTGGCTGTTGGCAGAGATAGCATTTCCGGGCTCCTATTCCCTCCTTTTAAAACCCTTCACTGGGCTTTGAAACTGCGCGCGCGCGCGCTGTTCCGATTTCCATCGGCTCTGCCGGCGGGAAAGTTGGCTCTGGAATGTCTGGAATGCGGAACTCCTTCCAACGTTCCCCTTTCCCTTCCCGCCTCTCCAATGCTCTCGCCTCCTGGCGCGCTCCTATGGCCAGCGCTGATTTGGTCAGCTGGTCCATAGACTCCGCCCTGGGCGCCCGGGAAAGTTCATCTTTCACAGCCGAAGAAAGCCCTTCTTCAAAGAGCATTTGAATGGGTTCCGCCGATAAGTCCCACCCCAATCTGTGTATCAGCATGGTGAACTCAGTCCAGTACTCACGTACAGATCGGCTCCCCTGTTTGCAAGCCATTAACTGTCTGCGCACCACTCCCTTTTCAATATCGCTGGAAAACATCAGATCCATGGCGCGAAAGAACTTCATCGTGTCCTTTAGGACGTCACTATGCGCTGCCATCAGGGGTCTAACCCAGTCTCTCGCCCCCTTTTCAAGATGCCCAATCACAAAAGCCACTCGTGATTCCTCATCCGAAAATCATCAAACTGCAGATTGAGGGCATATTGCATTTCTGTCCGAAAGCTATGATAGTCTTTGGGCTCCCCCCCAAATTTCTGCACCAATCCTGGTACCTTTCTGGCGAGCTGGGTGGCTTTCTCCCTTTGTCTGCATCTTGAGCCCTCCTCTCCTCCAGCCTCGCCGTCTGCAGCGCCAGCTGGACCTCCAACACCCGGTACCTTTCTTCCAGGCTTGGACCCGCTCCAGCCCCTGCTTCTCCGGTTCCTGCTGGGTTGCTCATTATGCCTTCTCCTGCACAAGCTGCGTTCAAAGACTGTCGGAATGCTGTGATGGGAAGATGAGCTGCTTGTGCGTAAAATCGTATTCCCTCAGTGTTTGTTCAAGTCCACAAACCTCTGTCTGTGACGGAGCCCCTCTGACATGGCTCCTCTAGTCACTAGAAGATTCCGACAGTGGTTGCTTTCGTAATCGCTTCCAACATAAAAGCTCCTTAACGGAAACACGTCTTCTGGACTCTCTGCGTGACAGTTTCCGGCGAGGAGTGGGTGTCCCTACAGGAGGTCCGGAAACCTCACCACTGTTTTCGCTGGAAGTATCTCTGAGCCATCCCCCCAGCTCCCTTTCCCTCAGTTCAGCTTCTCTCCCCCTGCTGGTTTCCTCTTCAGCTGCTGAGTCTCTTCCAACCTGTCTGAGCCCTTTCACCTCCCTCAGTTCAGCTTCTCTCCCCTTGCTGGTTCCCTGTTCAGCTGCTGAGTCTCTTCCAACCTGTCTGAGTCCTTTCACCTCCCTTCCTTCCGATGGCAGTTCCCTGACATTTCCCATAAAAACAGGAAATTGGGGTGAGGTCAGAAGCTTCTGCCGATGGCTGGGTGCAGATCTGATGATAATTGACAACAAAATGGAACAGGTGAGTCTCTCCTGTCCTGACTCTCTCATCTAAGATGTGGAGATTCAGAGACTGTTGCATAGGACACCCTCTCCTTGCTAGGTAGAAATTACTGCAAGCAGGCAAACAACAGATGGCAGAGAACTGCTTTCCCATAAAAGCCAGCCCTATGCCCTGATCTGAAGTTGAGACTTAAGTATAGACAGGAGAGAAATTTGATTGAATTCACACTTTCTGAAACAATATGTGAACCAAATTCACACTTCCTGAAACAATATGTGAACCAAAGTGCTGTCATCCTTTAAGATTTGCATTTCTCTGAATTTTGCAATGCAATTTTTGTAATGTGTACAAAACTATATACTAGGATAATCAGTGTATATAAATGAATATATTACTGAAAAGAACATGCAAAAGTGCTTGGCAAAAATATTGGGCAGCAGGTAAGGAGTAATTTGATTCTGTTTTCATTTTGTGTAGGATTTTCTAATTTATAAAATGGATTCCACGAAGAATCTGTGGATTGGCTTGCGTTATGCAGAGGGTGTACCAGGGTGGCAATGGGTGGATGGTACAGAGTTGACCTTTGAGTGAGTAGAATTCCTCAATGCATCATCCTTTATCTTTACACATTGAGACTGAGGCTCAGAAAGCTTTAAGAATTTCAGCAGTAAAAATTTGGAAGTGTGTTTCCCATAATACGGACAGGAAACAACATTTTCACACCAAACCAAACCTTTAAAGCACTCTTATACTTTATCAGTCATGGATTCACCCAGAGAATCCTGGGAGTTGTGGTGTATTAAGTGTCTCCTAACAGCTGTCAGCACCCATGGCAAAGAATTAAATGTAGGGTGATGATGTGACCAGTGTATATATGGTCCGTATGGAGGTGGATGTTACATAGAGTGCCAGCTTGGCCAAAAGCCTCCCATGTTAATTCTCCTTCTTCCATCAGGTGTGGAGCGATAAAAATGGGACTGGGCCAGTATCCCTGTGCTGTATGTGGTGCTTTGATCAGCTGATTGTCAGGGTTTTAGTGTCCAACAATGGGTCATATGATGTTGTCAAGGCTGCCTCAAGTCTCAGCTCACAAAAGACCAACGCCTATGTCTTCTTATATACAAAGGTGTTTATTGCAGTTCATGGTTTGTTTGACATCCTAGGCGCGCAGCCTTACGTCTCTTACGCTAGACCGCTGAAGTCCCCTCTGAGTCAGTCCCTCCCCTGCACCAATTTAAGAGACTTGCGCTGCTCCACCTCTTTCTCTCCTTCCTTTTCCGCAGGGTCCTTCTGCCCGCTGGGGTTGCGCCCCTCTGGATTCCTCTGACGCTGAATCCCCAGACTGCTCTCCCCCCCGCCGGCGGGCTTTGGGACCTGGCCCCTCCTCCGGGCTCCCTGTACTTCCGCGCGCCTCTACATTTGAACTAGGCGCGCGCGCCAAGCCTCTAACTTTCCTTTTGACAGTTACACTACTCCCTTCACTGCTCCCCTCCCCTTCCGGAAGGGCGGCTTGCTCTGACCTCCCTCCTTTCTCTGCTCCCGGAGCTGCATCCTCTGACACACTGGAAACTCCACCACCTTCGCTGCACTCTGGTGGGGAGGCTGGTCCTGACGCCCAGCTGCCACTTTGGGATCCTCCGCTGGCCCCCTGCTCCTGACACGTCCCCCCTGGGGCTCCCCTGGCCTTAACCACCGGCGCCCCCTTCTGGGAATCCTCTGATTCGCTGGAAAGACTCATGGAATCTCTTGAGTCATTGTCATCCTCTTCCTCGCTGGCTTGGAATTCCTCCCCATCGCTCTCCATCTCCTGCCTACCCTGTCCCTCTCTCCCTGAACCCCTGACAGATGTCATTGTGATGCCAGGTGATTGACAGGCGTCCAGCCCTACCCACCTGTCACACTTGGCCTGTGGGTGGAGGAGATAAGGATTCAACCCCCTAGTTATATCCTATTCCTCACCCCTGGTCTTTAATGTAAACAGCAGCTACTTGATTAGATTTTATAGGTGGTAGATAAAAGCATGAAGGGCATAGCAGGAAACTTGGATGGAGAAGGAAGAATATAGATCCTGCTGCCACCAGAGCCATACACAGTACTTCAATATAAATGGCAAGTATGTTTGATGTTTGGTCTGGGACTGGCTGTGTGAAAGTAGCACCATCCTCTTTGGTCAATGTGATGTTCTCTTCTTCACATGTACCACAATCTTAGGCATCTTTATTTAGAAGTCAGTACCACTGTGTTTAAGGGAGATTTCCTCCCGGGCAAAGTGTTCCTAGGATTGCAGTCACCTGCAGTTGATCCTGCTGCTCAGAATCTGCAGAAAATTCGAGGCCAGCAGCTGTTTCTTTCCCAACTTCAAGCTCTGTCCCCTCTCATCCCCCTGCTGGTATGTGTGACTCAGGCTGTTTTATCTTTTTCAGAAACTGGGAGACGCCAGATAACATTCAACTTACCGACAAATATAATTATAAAACCCATTGTGTTCTTACTTCAGGTGAAGCCTCAAAGGGCAAGTGGAACAACATTCCCTGTGATAAGCTCCATCTATCTGTCTGTGAAAGGGACAAGGAGGTGACCTGTGTTCTGCGGTCTCCACTTTCACCCCACTGAAATGATTTGCTTTATTTTTATTCCATAGAAACAAATTTTTTAAAAAGATAATTGTACAAAGCAAATACAGAAGAAAAGCAAAAGCGACTTGTAGCAAGGACATACACCAGTCAAACAGATGTGTCACTGCTGTGAAAACATGCGCTCTATTCCTAACAGTACTTCATGAATTGTTTCCATTGTATTAAAAATCAACAACTGCAAGGTGAGACAACCAACCAAGTATTCCCCAAAGCTTGGGTTAAAAGGTGTGTCTTGTTAGAATCCTAGAAACCAATTCAAATACTAATTAGACTCAGGCATGCTGTTTATATGAGGCTGGTTATCCCACAAACTGCCTCTCAAGCAAATGTAGCAATTGCATGCACAATTAACGACCCACTCAGAGTCCCATCTTGACTTGAAGGTTTTCAGAAATGTCTCTAGGTACTGGCTTGGTCAGAAAATCAGCTGTCATTTCTTTGGTTTGACAATACACCACAATTCAACATGTCTGTCTTGTATTACCTAATGCACGTGGTAGTTTTTAACCCTAATGTGTTTAGTTCTTGCATGTAGCTTTTCTTTGTGATAATTTCAAACAGCTTTAATTGTGCTCCATCAACTGAACAGGTTTCTGCATACACAACCCAAAGCCCATAGTTAGTTGGTCAGTTAAGACCAGTTCTCTACATACCTCAGTTGTACCTATATACTCTCTTTCCTGGAAGAAGCTGGTAGCTATGCATGGCTCCCAGCTCAACAAAATATACATGCAAGTAAATTTTCCTAGCTAGGAGATTTACACAGCCTGCATGTCTTTCTTAACACAAAGACTGTATGATCCTTTTGTAATGAAACCGCATTCTTTTTCTTTTAAATTGTTTGGAACCATTTTTCTTCTTTATTTTTACTTCCAATGGATAGAAAGTTGTTTACTGTAACTACTGAAAATTTGTAAGTAAAATCTTTATTTATTTATAAAACAAGGTGTCTGTGATTTATTCTAGCCTGAGTATTTTTGTGGGGAACATTTGTTTAAAGGTGGATGAAGGCAGATGCAGAATCTAACTAAGTTTTAATGTGCTTTGTAGCAATCGGCCTATCTCTGCGAGGAGAGAGGAAGAATCTCTTCCCCAAACTTCTATTTCTAACATCACATCTTAGTATGCCTTTTAAATATAAGCAGATGGTGCCATGCACACATCCAAAAGGTAGGGATTCCAATAGTCAAGAGGTCACCACAGAGAAGGCTCTGTTGCATACCACTGTCCCACAGAGCACCCCAAAATTACAAACTTGCCCTTTGTAGAGGAGTGCCCATCCCAATACACAAGGAGGCTCACTTCCTAGACTCAACAACTTGGCACTCACATTTATCTTCCTCTTCCAACAAGCTTTATCCAAGTCTTCATCTGTATTAAAGCTATTTAAACTACTTGTATGTACGCAATTGTTTTTAATTGTTTTATATATGAAGCTGTTTTTTCCTGTTTCCTGTTTTGTGGTTGCAATTGTTTTATAATTGCATGTATTTATTTTGCAAACCACCCTGAAACCTAGCAGAAGAGAGATCTGATAAATAAAATGGACCTCTGTCTTGTCTGGATTTGATTTCAGTTTATAGGACCACCACCTCCTGCACACCCACCCACACACCCAGCCCATTGTTGAACAAATGGGTGACAAAATGGAGCCCTGTGGGACACTGTGGATAATTTCTCAATGTAAATCAATAAGATAAAAAACAAATACTTAAAAATAACAACAGCAAGGAAAATAATACCGATGAAATTACTTTTCCAGAAAAATGCTGTGCACAGGTGGAGTGTGTGTCTTGTTAGTGTTAGGGTAAATAAAAATTTTGGCAGATACCTGGGTGGTCAACCTTCTTTCAGACACCTCCAGACATTTCTTATGATAATTTGAACCTTTGTTTTGCGGTCCCTTTCTTTTCTCAAATAACATGAAGCCTCATCACTTGCTCTTTCATTAAGAGCCCACTCATAGTTGTCTGAACCTTCTGTAATGAATCAGCTTCAGTCTCTTTCACAGTTCAGCCATAATTAGCTAGGACCATCCCATCCTGCTTTGCTACATTCAGCCATGACAGTTGCACTCCCCTTCCTGAGCATTAGGAGTGGGGCAAGCGCCTGACATTTCTGTGGTTTGTTAGATAGAAAGGAAGCTGATAGTGATAGACAGCAAGCACAAGCATCCGGTTACTGAGCTTAGCTGCTCTGAGAGGCATTCGAGGAGAAGAATCAAACCCATCATGGATGACGGCTATCAGAATGAAGACTATTGGAATGAAGATTACCAGAATGACATTCTTTCAGACAAATTTTCTCAGAATGCTGAAGTTTCCTCAGAGTCAGAACCTGGAAGCGCAGGTAAATCAGGGTGGCAGTGGAAGGAAGCAGGAAGGGAGGAGAACGGGAAATTCTCAAAAGGCTGTTCTAGTTCTGCTGCTGTTGTGTCCACATCACATATAAAACACACAATTCCCTATGTGAGTGATCTAACAAGGTTATCATTCCTAACTGTAATTCTCCTCTATACTCATTACTCCTCTATACTCTAGTAATTCTCCTCTATATTCTATACTCTATATTCATTAGGACTAGATCATGCTGCCACAGTTATCCAGTCTTGGGAGGCTGTTTAGTAAGATTGCAATAAACAGTCACAGTTGCTGCAGCAGTTGAAGCATGGTCACATTAACATGTTAGCCTCTTACTTGCTATCAGCACAAGCATTCTTAATATTTACATTTGCTAATAAGCTTCTTTTGCCCCAGTTTTGGCTCTTTGAATGATATACTATTCCACAATGAGTGACAAAGCTGGACGTGCCCACTTCTAGTGGGTAGCAAGACCATGAAATCTGGAAAGTCACAACAGAGAGCCAAGTAGGCAATCTCTTTAAAAAAACAACAACCACCTTTTCTGTCTCTAGAATCAGTGGTTTGGGACCAGCAGGGATATGAGAATGCTGCACAGGAATATGAGTACATCGGGTTTTCTGGCGTCCGGCTGAGAAGGCTACCAGAGAAGGGAGAGGAAAGAGAACCAGGTGAAAAGAGTTAACATACTTCCACAAATGGCACAAATAAATGTTTTTAGTGTCTCTATTGTACTGCAGTCTGAAGAGGAGCACAAATAATATCCCCCTTCCTCTTTAGACTTTAAAAAGCCTTTGCTGCCCAATTCAGACACCAGTTACACTTTTCATCTACTTCCCTGTCCCGCTTTGGGCTCTGATGTATTGGAGGACCACATGAACATTGTTGTTGTTCTCATTCCTTCCGTTTCCAAAATTCAGAGGAGTCTCATGTAACTAAAATGGCACCGTCCACACACAAGAGGGAGGTATCAGAAGCTTTGGGGAAACCTCAAGGTTTTCCAGAAGGACAAAAAATATTTTGAAACCCAGAATAAGCATGCTCAGTAGGCATGGAACGCTTGCTGTATTTTGGCAGGGGGGAAGAGGGAAACCTGGATGGAAGGGAGACTAGCCAATCCCTCTTCCCTGTGAATCCTGGGAATTGTAGCTCTCTGAAGAGAACCCTTAACAAATCAAAGAGGCCATGATTCTCTGAGGGAAGCCTTCTTTATTCTCAATAGTCCTGCTCCTGAAATCCTGTGGTCCTCCTTGAGCTTCCAGGTTTATTCTTCTTTATTTGCAGCACTGTTTACATCTGAGGACGGCAAGTGGGGACCCTTTGGCAGGAAACCCTTCATGATCTTCTCAGTTCTGTTGCTCTGCTCCTTGATCATAACAACAGCTACTCTCATAATGGCATGTCTTAGATGTAAGTTCAGATCTGAAGAAGGTAAAATCTTCTAGATATTACTTCTGTGTAGTTCCACTTGCCCCACCCCACCCCCAGAAGTACATAGTGCTGAAGGAGGAAGTAGAGAGAGCGACACTCTGTCCCACTTCCTCTTTCAGCTCTATGTATTCAGCTGTATGTATTCCTCTTTCAGCTTATATGTATTGTTGCACACCACTCCAATCTCTGAGAAGTGCCTGGATTCCAGGGGTTTCAGATGTTTCCTTCTGGAAATGAGGCACAGCAGAGACTGTGGTGTCTTTATGATATATTTACCCATATATGCAACCTGAGCCTATGATGGAGGGGTTCACAGTATCAACACTCCAAAAAGTTCTTGCTTCTCCCATAGCTGCAGCCTTGGATTGAAGCAGAAATCAACTATGGCCCACTCTCTGCCTTTCCAGCCTGCAGCTTTTTCTCCAGCTTCTAGTTCACATCGCAGCAAACTCTGCCCTCAAACTCAGGCTTTGCCCTTCTATCTATCGGAGAGCTGAAGGAGGAGCCCTCCCATTTGCCATTGGACACAGAGCCCTCTTTCCTTTATTCTCTTAATGGCCCATCACTTTTCTTTTGTTATCTGAATGGCACCTCACCCAGGCAGTTAGCCTAACTTGATTAAATTCTAACATTTGCTGGATCCAGTGAATAAAGAGGTCTGGCAACCACAAACTAATAACATTGCTTTTCAAGGCTCAAATCAGCAGCTGAAAAGAAAGAAAACTGACAAGAGAGAATATGAGGGAAAGGAGGAGCAGTTTGAGAGACTAGGGGGAGGAAAATGGAGTCCTTGTGAGGAGGCAGGGTGAGAACAAAGACAGAGATCAAGAGGGACACACAGAGAGGAGGGGATGGAATGCTGGAGCAAGAGAGATGAGAAGTTTCTCTCTCTCTCTCTCTCTCTCTCTCTCTCTCTCACACACACACACACACACACACACGAACTGGTAAAAGAGATCCTCTTGGAATTACATGTTTTTTTCACATATCTCCCCAGCACACACAGCCAAAGTCAAATCACAGATCACATCTTTCTCCGTTAACTGAACCCAGATTTTTATGGTTCGCCCTTAGGTGATGATATTTCACACACACACCATCTGGATAAGGCAAAGGGACTGGTTTTGAAATGTGTGTTTATTGGCAATTATGGTAGTGTATGACTCCAGGCACAATAACATCCTTTGACCAGCAAAACATCTAAGATATATTCATGCTGGGTAGCATTAATCAACATTTCCATATATTGCAGGCTTTCCAAAGTGTGCAGATGACTGGGAGAAGTTTCAGGAAAAATGCTACTACTATTCCACAGAAAAAATGCAACAGAATACAGCTAGAAGTTTCTGCCAAGCCCTAGGTGCAGATCTAATAGTGATTGACAGTGAAAATGAACAGGTAATTCTATCTAAGGAATAAATAAAATATAATTGAGTGTGTTACTTTCACTAATATATTCATTTCTGTGAACACTTGCCTAATATGTGCAATTTTGCAAATATTATATGGCTAGAGAACTGCAAATTCATGTTATTTTCATTTTCTATGAGGACTTTCTGAAAGATGAACTGCAGATAAGCGAGAACACTTGGATTGGACTGACTTACATAGAGGCTGAAAGAAAGTGGATGTGGCAAGACTTCAAAAATCATTCCTACACGTGAGTAGCATTATTGAGTTGAAAATTCTCTACCATATCATAGCAATGATTTGCAATGACTCCTTGTCCACCCCTGTTTACTATGTGCATTAGCTACAGTTAGATCTGCTCCCTAGTGCTTATAGTGCACTAGCAACGTCTCCCCCCTCCAAACTTGACAGCTAAAGCTGAACCATTTTCCTCCTCTGAGTACCTCTCCTCTTAGAATATGGTAGCAGATCTTCCCAAACTCTCCAAAGGTCAGATTCATGTACTTTTCCATACAGCAGTCAGAAAACACAGGTTGTAAACCTGGGCTTTGTTTCAGCGGTGAAAGTTTCTAAATTATTGGTATAGGAACACAAGAATGGCTTGTAAGATCAATCAGCTCAGACCTCTTTACACACTGAGTTTCTCAGATAAACTGGAGGGGAACAGCAATGGGCTTGATTCCCTCCTTATCAAAGTGAGGGAGAATGACCTAGCTAAGCCTGACAGGGCAGCTTTCTCTCTGTCTGTGGCATTAACCCATTCATGCATTAATTAGACTTAAGCATGTTGGTTATATGAGACTAGTTATCCCACACAAAAAAGTTGAGGCCAGCATCTGCTTACCACCCCTGCTCCCAAGTTCATGATCCTGCCCCATATACTGGATTCCCCTGATAGCATGCAATTCAGACAAATTTGTGTTTCTCATTTTCAGAAACTGGGATGGAAGGACAGAACCAATCAGTTCCCGATGCTGTGTGATTTTGGACCCCAAGTATGAATTAAAATGGAAGAACACCGAGTGCCTAAGACGCTTGGGCTTCATTTGTGAAAAGAGCAGGCACATTGCCTGTGCCCTGCAGTCCCCATTCTTACCTCATTGAAACTTGGCTAATTTGTGTGTGTGTACAAGCAGAATTGATTCATAGGAGTGTTTTTTTAAAGGTTGCAAGAACTTTCAGGGTTAGAACAATGTCTTTCTGGTCCTCTAGACTGTGAGTCAAAAGCCAGTCAGGAAATAAGCCTGGCTGAATGTACATGGTGTCATGGGGAGGAACGAAGCACATGGGTTTACCTCAGCATCTCCCTCTCCATGCCTCTGCCCTGGTTTTTGGAGCCAGCAGTGACCAATCCCCCCCCCCAATCATTCAGTTTCTACAAACTTCACACACACTCACACTCACACACTACATACACTACGCTTCTGTTATAAATTCATAGAAAATCAACCATACATCGGATTTGCACTGTTCCACTTTTATTTTACTCCATGAAGGAAAGACTACAAAATGGGGAAGGTTTGATACAGGCCACCATAATCCCTTGAGCATACCAGCACATCCACAGGAGCCTTGCCCAGTTGCTATGCCAACCCTGATGGTCTCAGACAGAAGACCATCAACAACACAACGGACTGCATACACGAGTGGATTCAACATGGACTATAACAAAAGAACAGTGATTGGAGTCCCCCTCAGGGGGCGGGAACCTGCGACTACCTTTTGTCTTCTGAAAATGACTCATGGGGGAGGGGAGAAGGGAACCAGCCAAGTGACAGGACACTCAGGTTACCACCACCACCCCTCCCTCAACCCCTCCTTTCTGTGATGTAGGCATGATGTTTCTGGGGGTGGGCTTGACCTACAGGATGGGAATTTCAAAAGTTTTTATAAGGCCTCTCTCCTGCAAGTGAGGGGAGCACCCTGTTGCAACAGTTCAATAAAGGCCAAGCCTACAGGCTGCTGATTTGCTCCAATTTACTCTGGTTGGTGTCTTTACTTTTTGTCCAAGGGAGCCCTCGGATTTTTCCGGTAACACAATTAAAAGACTGATTTAAGACCTGCAAATGTGCTTACATTCCCATGTCTCCTAAGTCCCAATTCCGGTATTAGTATTACTACTACTACTACTACTAGTAGTAGTAGTAATACTAATACTAATAATACTAATTACCCCTAAACATGTTGTGAATCTAAGTTTGACCTCATTAAGAGCAGTATTTCAATATGAGCAGGAAAATGAGAGTACCCCTAAACATTTTTTTTAGAAAAAAAGCACTAGTAAAATGTAGTCATTTAAAACACATGGCTTGTCCTTCTACAGTTAATGTGTATGTATTTTTCAGACGTTTGGGTGTGCCTGACAGTATCAGGCCATCTAGTCTAGCATCCTGTTTTGAACTGAAGCCTATTTTATCCGTCTCCAGCATCTATAATAGATAAACTATCTCTCAGCATTTAGCTTCCATTTACCGGTAGCTGTCACGGCTTGCAACTGTTGGTAGAATTGTCCTCCATTAACTACATGTTGGAGCAGATGACTATGTATTAGTTTGCAATCAGGCCATGGTACTTCATTCTGTGTTCACAACACTTCATTACCTATTAATTTTTGCATTTTACGTGACACAACATAAAAGCCACTTCAGGAAATTTAGTGGAACTTAATGCAAGTTTAGTGTTCATTTCCATGTTGTCTCTAGAAAAATTCATTGCAACCCCATTACTCAGAAAATTGCAGGAGTTTTGCACTGCAATTTCACGTGATGACATTTGGGGCCGTATCCTGGCATATAGTCCTTTCACACTACATATCATGGCTGTGGAGTTTCTGTGATTGATCTGTGGCTACATTCACAACAGGGCTAATGTTCTGAAAGCCAATCCTTGACTTGTTAACCATGTAACCATTGGACAGAGCAATCATCCACATGGTTGTCTCCCAAATCATGGGGAAAAGTTCATAAATTCAGTTAGGGAAGTTTGAGTGCATAATAATGCTATTAACTGAGTGCCAAATCAACATCTGCTGATGACCTAGGAAGTTAAGTTTCTGGAGACATTTCTAATGGGTCGTCTTCTCCTTTGGTGATCACTCATAGCTGAATAAGATGTCTTCCATGAACATGGTCTTAACAGTGAGTCCATAAGTGACTTCGGAGGCCAATTCTGCATCCACAGTGGGGACATAGGTTTCCAGGCGGGAGTTGATCACGGTGAGGGTTTCCCAAACATGCCTTCCTCTTAGCTTGTTTCTCCCTTTCATCCAGAGATTGTGCTTCTTCAGAGTCCATGACACCTTTGGTAAAGGTTGTTCCTAATTGGCGCACTCGCAGGCCAGTGTTTCCCAGTTATCAGTGCTTATACACCTTTTTTTTTTTTTTTTTTGCCTTGAGAGCGTCTTTAAACCTCTTTTATCGTCCACCGGTATTTCGCTTTCCATTCTTAAGTTGGGAATAGAGTAGGCATCCAAACAACATGACCCGTCCAACAAAGTTGATGTTGAAGAATCATTGCTTTGACACTGGTGATCTTTGCTTCTTCCAGTACACTGGCATTAGTTCACCTGTCTTCCCAAGTAATGTGTATAATGTTTTGGAGACGCCATTGATGGAATCATTTACAATTTGAAGATGATGTTTATAAGTGGTCCATGTTTCACAAGCGTACAGTAAAGTTGGTAGTATCATAGCTTTGTAAACAAGCAATTTGGTTTCCCTGTGAATGTCATGGTCCGCAAACACTATGCACTTCACTTGGGAGAAAGCTGTGCTCGCAGAGCTCAGGCGATGCTGGATTTCAGCATCAGTGTCAGCCCTTGTGGAAAGATAACTGCCCAGGAAGGAAAAGTGATTGACATTTTCCAACATTACACCATTAAGTTGGATTTGTGGTGCTGCAGAGGGGTTGTTTTGTGCTTGTTGGTGCAGCACTTTGGTTTTTTGGATATAGAGCAATAGGCCAAGCATTCCATAAGATTCTGTGAATATATTTAGGATACCGTATTTTTTGCACCATAACACTCACTTTTTTCCTCCTAGAAAGTAAGGGGAAATGTCTGTGCGTGTTATGGAGGGAATGCCTACGGGTGGCGGGGGGATCTGCTGCAGTCGTGAGCAGAGGATCCATGGTTCCCCTTCCTTCCCTCCTCCGTGGCTCGCTTTGAAACAGCAAAGTGGGAGAAGAGCTGCTGAGTGGGGAGGAGAGAGGGAAAGAGAGCCTGCTTCTTTAAAGGAGCAAAGCGGGAGAGGAGAGGAGCCGCTACACGAGTGTAAGCAGCTCCTGTCCGGTTGGTTCCTTTAAAGCAAGCAGGCTCTCTGTCCCTCTCTCCTCCGCACTCAGCTCGCTACATAGCAGCAAAGTTTTTCAGCTTGCTAAGCCGGGGATGAGCGGGGAGGAGGGAGAAAAGCAGAGCCTGCTTGCTTTAAAGGAGCAAAGTGGGAGAGGAGAGGAGCCTTCTCCCCTTATACCCCTCTTCTGCATTATTAGCAGCATCCTTCTCCACCCACCCCACGCGTGCTCCTTCTCCCCTTAAACCCCTCTTCTGCATTATTAGCAGCATCCTTCTCCACACACCCCACGCATGCTCCTTGTCCCTTGAGTGCTTTTCCTTCCCTCCCCACTTAAAACGTGGTTACAAAGATTGGATTTTTGCATTGGGCTACTCCAAACTCACTGTCAGATCACATGTCTGTGGCCACAGCATGAACCACAAAAATCATACATCCACTGTTTCGTTTAGAATATTTTTTTCTTGTTTTCCTCCTCTAAAAACTACATGCGTGTTATGGTCGGGTGTGTGTTATAGAGCGAAAAATACAGTTTGGAGGTCATCCTCTGAGTGTGCACACACTACTTTGTCACCAGCATACTGAAGCTCCATGACAGAAGGTATGGTAACCTTACTCTTTGCTTTCAGCCTACTCAGATTAAAGAGCTTTCCATGTGTTCAATATATGATTTCTACTCTGGTGGGGAGTTTC